GCGCGTGCAGTCGCGTTGCGGCAGTGCTCGAGGATCAATACATAGCACATTTACGGCTACGACTGACCACCTACGCAGCTACGCGATAATCACGAGCCCTCAGGAAGTTCTAGAAGATTTCGTCAACAAAATCAAGGGAAGATATCATTTGCAAAAGAGTACACTGAATAAACAAACATTGCTAGAACATCGGATTTTTAAGGTTTGTGAAGAAACTGTAGGATTTACTCGTGGTCAGAAGCAGTATCGATTGATAGCATGACAAACACTTTGTTCAATTTAAGAAAGCACCATTGGTGCCCTTCTTTCCGTGTGTATACGTTCTGCAGAATAACTTCGCTTGAAGTTATGCAATTTATCTTCACACACCCGACTTGCAGCCTGAAAATTAATTTTAGGAGGATACATAAATCTATACGCATATACACCATTTTCATTTCAAACTTTTCGGACACTTTTCAGAGCGAGTGGGACGCTTTCCAAACCAACGGACACTTTTCAACCAAGCTGGACACTCTTCAGATCAAATCGGACGCATTCTAAACCGAATCGCCTACACCCTTACATCGGGCAGTTGATTAACTGAACCTTACTAGGTACACCTGCAAGCTCCGTCACAACGTCCTTGCCCGCTTTTCAGCGCGGTCATAAACTTCCAAAATTTGACAAAAAAAAAATACCGGGGAAAGTTTGACCAGGGAAAGATTTTTCCAAAAGTCACCAGCCCTTGCAATACCCGACTCTATCTTGCCAATCCGGATCATTTTTCAAAAAAGGCGGGGTCTTGGTTGGGGCAGCTACATGATGCAGTCTAAAACTGCAAATCTTGCAGCAATAATCCGTTAACAAAGGGACCAGAAACGTTGAACTCACCTCTAAACGCTTAGCACGTTCCCTATACAACGGCTGAAGAGGCAGCTGCAAGTCATTCGCCAAAGCAAGTGTTCGTAGGTCGAAGTAGTACTTGGCATAGACAATGATGGACTTACTATGTTGAAGTTAAGCACTCGAGAAATCCGTCGCTCTAAATTCTGTCTATAACGGACAACTTGTGCAATGAGTATTTGACAACTGATATCACATACATAGCAATCGGGGAGACATCACATGTCATCTACATTAGTATCTCGCAATATTTGACAGTAATCTACGTTCCACACAGCCTGATCATCCCATACCTAAAAAAGGAATTCAGAGTGCATAACATTGGCCAATATCCAAAAGCTTTGAAAAACTTGCTCGATTTTACTTTTTTAGTGCCAGGAAAATCGATTATTGAGTACAGCAACATATTCGAGGGCTATGCTATTGAAGTGGAAAGCCAGGTAAAAATAGAAATTCCCCTAAGAGCACACGAAGTGTATAAGTGAAACCGAACTCTATCTGAGTAGGGGTTAACAACGAGAAGGTTTCGCTGACTTCTTGGCTTGGGCGCGTGAGACAAGGCTTAAAGACAGCTCCGCGATTGATAATGTCATGGAATAATTGCTTTTCAATTAAGAAACTTAGCGCTAAGTAGTTCATTAAAGAAGAGAAAAAGCAAGAAGAGTTTAGAGAAGGCACCAGTATAACAAGATCGCTCCCTGTCAGTCACACAGCATCTGGGTCATTGCGGTCACCCCTGGCTCACAAATCCCTTATGCCAGCTCGCAGTAGTTGATATCATCTAGTGCAAAGAAAAGAACACAAAAAACAAGAACATGGAAGAAAAACTCTTGAAAGGAAAATAAACCTTTAAAAATTCGGCGTCCGAATATAAGGCGTTGGTAGACGGTGCAATTTTTAGTGTGTTCAGTGCGGTCAGAGTTTTGCCACCAGAAAATTAATCTCGCCTCGTGATTTTTACCGCGTTTTACCATGCGAGATGGGATGAATTTGACTGTATGTGCTGCTAATGAATAAATGTAATAAAGGAAAGCAGAATAATCATGGGCACGAGCGGTCAGACGACAAAGGACTATGAACCGCCGCGCATTTAGAGGGGGCCTGCCACGCCCAACAAAGACAACTGAGCGGCCCTCTGTCGGAGGGCATCTAGCAAGTGAGGCGGTCCAACTGAGCGGGCATTAGAACTAGAACTTTCAGCGGCTGTAGCTCGCTCTCGCTTGCTGTGGAGTCCGATAAAAGAGGGGGCAAGTCTCTAGCTTGGAGCTGTGATTACTTGCAGCAATGAAGACGACAATGGTCTCCAGCGCGCAAGGATGCCTTCAAGGGCCTATGACGCAAACTTATAAACGCCGTCGAAGCCTGAAATCATTCTTCTACTAATGGTCACTTCGTGACCAAAGAGGCCTCTATCAACAGCGACGGCGAAGAAATTGTGCGGATTCTAGCAACCAGAGCAAGGTGATCGGGAAAATGTGGTATAACTGAACTCAACGTGTTCCCCAAGTAATAACAAATATGAGGGTATCCAAAGAGTTTCGAAAAGTTCCACTCACTTCATTCAACACCTATCAACAACGATAAGGGATGGGAATTGAGAGCTATAATAAACGCTGTTCTTCTTAATACCCTTAACTTTTGGGCAGTATTGCATTGCTTGTAAGCTAAAATGATGTGAGTACCGAAAGAGCGGAGGCGTACGCTACATCGGAGCTAAACTTTCACATCGAGAAACGATGGAACTCTTGATGTAGACAATTTGGGAACACGTTTTTCTAGTATTGACGGCAGTGTCTCATTCCCGATTCGATCGATAGAGCAGTCAGAAGGCAAGCAGTGGATGAAGGTTGAACTAAAAGGCGTGGGAGCCGTGCGCTTACGTCTGTTGATGTTAATCATGCAATACATATATTGAAGATAGTATCCATACCAACCATACTTGATCTGTTTCTCTAACTTACAGCGTTTTATATACAGGGGGGGACAGAAAAGTCACTTTTGTTCCTTGAATTTCAGGGCTATAAATTACACTTAATTAAATTCTGATAGGACATTTCCACCACCATATTCAACAGCATATTGTATACTATCATGATGCTCCGCCACAGCCTTCTGGACGAGCGCCATCGAGAGATTCTGCCACGCGACCAGTGGGTACCTGAGTTCAGCGAGATCGTTGATTTCTCCGCCACTGTAGACCACCCTGTTGAGCTCCGCCGAACCCGGGTAATTGAGGGGTTTAGGTCAGGTGACACACTTGGATATTTCCGTCCTCTTCAGGTACTCAATTCGTCCTTCCATTCCAAATAGGGCGAAAGTTTTTAACGCCCTTCGATTCCGTGTGGAGGCACCTAATCCTGTAGCAGTACTAAGTCTCAAAGAAGGTACAGGCGATGACTGAGGCAGAATCTTAGCCATGTTGGCTTCGTCCGAGTTGTTACCGTCAGCGCTCACCTTCAGTCCGGGGTCCACGAAGAAAATATCGGTCTTCACATTCCAGGAACTCCGGTCCATACCATCAACCCGCGCCTTGGCGACTGCGGTGAAGATGATATCCTGGACCGTAGCGACGTTGTCGGAGCTGCTCGATGTTGGAGGTCTTCCAGATCGAGAGTACTGGTCTCCAGGTAGCTATCCATGGGTGACTCCACACTAGAAGTTTCGCAGCTGTTTGGAGGTGACATGAATTCCAAAGGTCTTCTCCAGTCAGGCTGCGACTGGAGATGACTTCATATTTTGGTGTACATGAAGGTGATGGGCGAGCTCTCCTGCTTATCGAGGAACATCTTGGGTATCTTCCGCCCTGGTACTCGTATCCACGTCCTCTGTCTGGGCTGCGAAAACTTTGCTGATATGTGACTCGGTCGAAGTGACTTTTTTGCCCCCCCCCTGTACATTTTACTGGCGCGTTCGCTCGCTACCTTTATCGGACGGAGGAACGAGTCAAAACTTTCCGGATAACCTGATACAACCATTCAGTTTCCTCGCACCGTTCGTGTACCTTTCGATATCAACATCGTCAAGAAGATCAGTTTTTCGCATTCAGTTTTTCGCTAAAGCCCTTTTTTCTTATGGCGAGCTTTAGTCGGTATTTGTTTTTGAGAAAGCTTGCTCACACCCGAGCTGCCATTAAGGCTGTCTAGAGCTCCTCTGGCTCACTCGTTTTTCACATCCATTTGGAATAATGACGGTAAGAGTGCGTTAATAATCTGCGTCAGCGTTTCGAGCGAATGCCAGCGTATGCACGAATGACTAACGATACCTAATTTCTCAGTTACTCAGCACTTTCGAAACGCCATCTAAAGTCTTTCTTTATCTGGAAAAACGCTTCAGCTAATTTCCGATGTGTCCCAAAAACCGTTGCCACTGTACAGTGGAATCACAGCAATACAGCAATACGACTGGAAAAGTAGAGTGATGCTTATTTTACCGCGTATACGTCACAACACAAAAAAAATTGATTGATAGAGATTTATTGGATAAAATTACCTTTGAGGCTAGCATTATCGCGCCCAACACCACTCTTCTCCAGTTTGATGGGCATAAATCCATTTCTGCATAATTTAGAAGTCGTTCTATGTAGACCTAGGAAAAAAACCAATGAATTGTACACATTCTTTTCGGTTAGAATATATGGTATAAACGCTCGAAAGTTGACGGACGATGTCAATGAGGGTCATGCTAAGTTTGGTGGGGTAAATCGCCGGTTCATAAAAAAAATCATAGATCAATGGGTAACAAGCTCACGCTTTCCCGCGACTCCCAAGACTTACTGCGACCCCTTAGGCTGTCCTATGCATAATCTGAGTGGGATCGACGCTGAGAGAATGTGTATCAAAGGGAACAAAATTGTCCATCTACGTTCCAAACACCCATGAAATCGAATACTTGCAACTTTTTGTTCTATTGAAAAAGGCGTAGTGTTTTTTGAAATTAGAACAAAATTTCTCAACAAGGACAGCTGTGCATACAATATACAAATTTCCAGCTTCCTAATACGTTCTGAACTAAAGAAGTTCCAACATAACCCATAAACCTCATCGGCAGACTCAACTGACTCAGTTCGACTCCATAAATGCAGCAAATTTCGAGCACAGCACGCTTTCCTATTAGAAAGCTGGAAATTTGTATATTGTACGCAAATTATAAAATTTATTAGGAATAAAATTTCGCGAAATACGGCCGCTCTGAAAGCTCCTTTCTCTAGTTCGACTCCCTTCCGTATCCTCCGTCCTAACTTTACTATCTAGCATCTTCTAAATTCTCCCCTACTTTCTACCACTTTCCCGTGAAATTTCAGGAAAATCGTCAAGCGAAGAAGCGGGGTGGGGGAGTTTACAGTGCTAGGAAAAGTGAAAAACCAAGTAAACCACCACCAAATACATTTTCACTAAAGCAAGTACGCCCCCACCGGGATCCCCAGCGTACTATGTGCACTGATTCCGACGCAGTGGATATTTCAAGGAAAAACAGAAAGGAATGAAGCAGCAAATAGACTATACACGTAATATAAACCAAACATAAATTTTGAAATGTGATTACTGGAATAAGAAGGTTCCAAATGACTTTGAAAACTCACTAGTGTTATAATTGCACATTCAGCAGTCAGTTGCGCCGAGTGAAACAATGTGCGAACAAATCGGTAAATTTGACGATGATCAGGATCTTTCGTCATCAGCTCCGGCGGTAATGCATCTCGCTACAATAGGACTATACAAAACAGCCATATAATGGTAAAACAATGTGCTGCCAACTGAATTTATCTTCAGTACGAAGGGTTCTTTGAGAACAAGTCTTATCCCTTCCAATTCAATTCACCACAATTTCGAAGGAATGGGACCTGAGGATGATCCGAAAGCACCAATGCCTTATTTCTGTAATGCTTTCCATAGTGAGCGCATTGCCTGTCTAACAATTTCATTACTAGAGCCCTTGCCCAACGGCCAGAGCTGTTGTTACCCTGTTGTTGCCTTGTTTTTCAAATCGCTGCAGAAAAAGGCCCAGTTGTTATCTGGCACGATCTTTACAAAGAAAACCCGTTGAGATTCGAGAACAAGATAAACGGCACAATCAGCTTTTGTACAATGTACGAGTCTGAGATCCTTCCAGGCCGCCCTTCTTTGAAAATAGGGCACAGCATCGCGTTGTGACAAATTTTGGATGTGCCTCCTCAGATTTCCTGCTTCTGTATGACCCCATCCCACCCCCGTCAGCGTCCAAATTACTGCTCCACCCGTCTTGTTCTCCACAACAGGAACCATGCCCTGTTACGAGAGAAAATTTCCTCAGCCCTAGGAAACATGGCCGGCGCAGTTCGACGACAGGGACAGGGAGGAGGGAAAATTTTGAGCATGCACCGCTTCACTGGTTCTGGTTTATATATTCCCACACTAGTGAAACTTGTAAATACTTATGAAGATGGAGCAAGTTCGTCAATCCAAGCTCTTCTGAGCTCATGAAAGCTCTCTAGATGGCTCAACACGTCGATAGGAGGTAGCAAAAATTGCAAAGTGACCCTCCTCGTCACGGACCCAATGGGCCCACATTGCCTAACATTCTTCGTCGATGAGCGAGAAATTGCAATAAGACGAGAACAAGGCAAAGGCTGTCAGCAGTCTCTACATCAGCAAATGAGCAACAAAATGTGCAAGTTATGCTTGATATGATGATAAGCTGTATTTAATCTAGGGTATCACCTGGTCCCGGAAAATTCAGTGCTAATATAAACTGGAATGAAATGAAGATCGATTTGAGACTTCTCTTTTAGCAAACAGCAAACATCTGATTTGAAATCTGCTTACTACCTTAACAACTGTGCTTTTTGAGGTGACTTTTCGACTTTAGCCAGGCTTCCTTGCAGAAATGTGCTAATGGAAAGCATAAAAATTATTAGCGGTTTTACCAATACTCAGGGTACGATGCTATTAAATACCGATAAATGCTCAGCCTTACCGTGATTGGGTGGAGTCGCTCCTCGAATATCTCCATGAGTCGTTCATGAGCTCGATTCTTCCGATTCGCAATATGGTAATATATTGCTAGCGATATGCATTTAATGGTATTTTTCAAATTAGGTTGACTAATCGTTGAGTCGTCTGAAAATAGGTGGATGCAGTTCAAAGTTAATGGTACACCACAGATACACTGTGGGAACTTACCCATATAAATCGTGCTACAACTACTGGATTTTCGTAGGCTTTTTGGCAACACGCCTGGAAATCCACCGCCAGCTGCCACAGCATCCAGCATATAACATGATCGACGGTTGTCTTTCACTGAAGAAAAACTAATTAAATTAATCACATTTATCATTTATTTATACTTATACAATACCAGAGTGTGCTGCTTCAGATCTTCAATACTTGCAGCACCACACTCTCCTAGTGTACGAACAAATAAATAAATAATTAAATAAATAAATAGATAGATAAATAAATAAATAAATAGATAAATAGCAGTAACAATTTGTAAGGTTATAAACGGATAGCAGGAGCATTCTCGCTGGTTTTCAACTGATGGTCAGTCGGATTGCCCGGCTTCGCCGCGCGACTTTCTATGAAGTTTTCTGGGAATTTATCAAACTTGAAAGCTTCATCCGACTTCATACTACCTTTTTTCCTGGCCTAATAAAGTTCTGGAGTCGTTTTACGAGCTTCCATCCTCGGCAGCGCCCACTCATATGCACATCTCGCCCTCTACAGGCGGAGCCTCTATAAACTAGACATGTTGGCTTGGGGCCAACCCATCCCAAACTTGATACTGTTCCTCAAAGTCATTTCAGTGTGGCTCCCGTTTTCCAACAGACAGACAACTTCCGGTTGAATATTACGAAGTGCTACGCTCACAACAAGGTAACTCACAACCCAAGACGGTAGTCTATATCTCGTAGAAACCCACCCTCACCATAACTTTGGGATAGTTCTACTAAATTACCAAAAAAGTGAAGGAAACAAGTGCACAGAAACAGCAGAGTCACTCAGTTCATTTCGCCATATATAACACAACTTACATTTCATTTCACTCTTGCTACGCTCCATGAACGTCGGCCGAGCCGTTGGGTGTGTAGATGGATCTTCTTCTCCTACTGAAAAGAATAATAAGAATAAAATCATTTTCATCAAATGATATACTACAACCGTAGCGATGCTCGTCTTGGAGGGAATTTTGGCACTTTAGTTACCTCCTCTTTTAGGTTCATGTTAAATAACAGGTTTCATTTCGGTGAGATCCTGTGAAGCTGCGAAATAGCGCGAGAGCCACATTGTTACAGGAGTGCCAGGTTTTCTCAAGGTGTCCGGTGCCCTAGCTGTGTACCACTCGGTGCCCTCATCAAAACTATACCCTACAACCTCTACGCAATTATTTTTTGTATTGTTTACAAGTCACTGATTCTAACCCCGATCAATCGAAGATGTTTTAAAGTTGAGGCGAACCGCTTCGAATTACGACAGTTTAAAGCCTCAAAAAAGATTGTTGGAGTTCTCCAAGCTGCCACCTGTTTAAAGTATTTAAAGTAGGCAACGAAACTTGAAACAAGGATAAGAAATGGCCAAAAAAGAAAAAGAAGAAAAATTACAAGTGAAGTGAATGTTTCCGGAAACTGATGTGTGTTCGAAACATGTTCTCCCTATGACTGATCGCGAGCCCTTTCACTTCCACGAGACAAAAAAAAACGGAATTTGCAGTACCATCAAGGGCAAATCATTTCTAGTCACCAGTTAACTCATTACAGACCATGTGCGACCCTAAATGACCCATAGGAAAAAGGGAAGAACGTGTTTTTTTGATATATCTTCGACACCTGAGCCTGTGTCTGTAGTTTGCGGAGCAGTTAAGCAACGTGTGCATTCTATCAACGGAATTATCGATTAATCAAGAAGACAGTTGAAGAGAACGCGCAGTAAGGGATCCGGAATGTGTGAAAAGCGATGACAGCAAGTCTGTGTTGTGTGAATACTGAATGAAACAACAGTAAGGGTATGGGGCGTGACATTAGTGGCGAATACGGTGACATTATTTAAAGGCACATTCCGCGATAAAATAAGGCTATGACCTCTCAAATGTGTCGGACGATCCGGAAGGCGATTTTTGAGGCTGCGCTACTTTCAAAATGTGAAAAACGGCAAGAACTCCGCTAGAAGCTGACTAATTAGGCCCATGGACACCCCTTAGGCCCATGCCGACCCTCACCGGCTGCTAGCTACTAGCTAGTAGCCACTATGTTATCTTTCTCTATAACATTTCGGACTGCTTTTTCTGCTGCTTTTCTCCGCTAATCAGATACTTAGCACTTTTTTGTGCCTATTTGAGTTCCGTTTCCCGCAATTTGCGGTCGCGAACTGTGCCTTTAAAACCGAGGAGACGGGGCTACCTTCAAGTCCCAGGGAAGACCAGTGCAGTAATCGCGTAAGCGTAAGCGTTGAAAAATGCAATCGAAAACACTAGTTCTCTTATACGCATCAAGTTTACTGCGAAGCTTTTTTCAATAGTCAGGCCACTTACTGCAGCCTTAACCTGCAACCATCAGTGTTAGGCGTGAGCTACGAGACGAGCGGGGTCAATTTCAGCCAAGCCAGTGCTAAACGATATCGGCACCATAAGCAACATTCAGATCGATGAGGTACGTCTGGAGAGCTGTGTAGTTCCACTACCTCGTGCCAAAATCTCCACATACCAAGTGCCACAATCATACTCTGATGGAGATCCGAGCAATTTCATATCGGTAGAAAGTGTACTCATTCGATCCCCATCGACTCATTTATCGTTATACAGGAGTTTTCGGCACTAGTAAGGTTGCGGAGGGCATAAGGCCATGTATAAACGTGGAACTACTGCAACGACAACAGCGGCCTCTGCTTACGCTGAACAGGGCGAAATTCCTCCTGGAGGGATGAAGCTAACTGAAGTGCAGTCATCCTACTTAAATAATGTCAATTCTAGTTACAGGAGAGTAATTTGAATGACCTCTCAAGTTGCTAAGGCAGTTTCGTCCTTCAGTCAGAAAGAAGAAATCAAGCAAACCTTGTGTCATTAAGCACAAGATAGGAGCTACAACCCTTATGTCATTAAGCACAAGATAGGAGCTAATCTCAGAAGAAATTCCCTTCCGCAAGCAAAGGAATCCTGCCCAGCAAAAGTTCCTTTGCATAGGAACTGAATAAATATATGGACTGGTTGTAAAGAGATCGCACTGGTGACAGTCAGATCTTTTGAATGGAGACATTGATGAATGCACGTAGATTACTCACAATCCAATCACATAAAACTGCATAGCTCCAACTTACCCTCAGGGACTTCACGTTCACTGATATGTGGAAGGAAATTTGTGGACGTTTCGTCACGCGGAAATGACTGGTTGACGTATTGAAACTGAAATCCCTTATCAGATTTATTTGTTTGTATTTGTCGTACCTAACAACATGAGCCTGCGTTCATACCTTGCGACTCAGGAGAATTGGCGTTTTGGAACATCAGGTTATTAGGCTATCACGCGGAAAGGAAAGCACAATTATTCATCAGGCGTTCTGAGAGAACCGACGATTCGGCGCTTTATTGATTTCGTTTCGCGATTGATTTCTTTTCGTCCAGACGCCGATTCTCCCAAACAAGCATTTTCTTTCTCAAAGCCCCTATCAATACGAACGTTTTCCCTTTCGCGCGTTCCCCACTAACGCCGATTGTCTCGAGTCGTAAACTATGAACGCAGCTACTCAGCGAAAAAAATTCTTGATTTTCAAATGGAGCAGGGCCATCAGAATGTTTACTCTAGCTGCTATGGAGCACCGGATGGTCCTCCATGGCAAACTGAACTGCTCAGCGTTCTTAACATAATGACGCAGAAAAAACCTCTGGGATAATCTTTAAAGTACCGATAACCACGAAAACTCACCTCAACTTGGTTGTTCCGTGTATACTGCCCTTCATATGCATAAGTTTTCTCGTCTCTGGGTACAGATCCACTGTTTCGAAGACAACAAGTTGAGTTACCCATGGCCTGTACAAAGTCAACTTCCTTACTGGAGTGAAGAAGATCGGCAACGAAAGATAGCAACAATAGCACTGCGGGGGGGGGGACATTAGAAGAACTCCTTGTGCAAAAGCGAAATGGCGTCATCCAATTAAAAGTACTATCCAATTTGATTCATCAAACCCAGCGCTCCCCCTTAAGAGTCCGTTCATACTTTGAGCCAGCGTTTTGAGCGACTGGAAATGCGCAGTTATCGATTATCGCTCAAAAAGCTGACGGACGCCCAAAAGGTTGAATCGATACCCATCTCTTCCGCAAGTAAAAAGGGAGACGGTAAAGAGGATCGTAATTCGCCGCACCGCCACGCGCGGCGATGGGCGCGGCGTTTTCATAACTCGTTTTAACCTGTCGAATGGAGCACCGGACTTCATGTAGACCCCGTCATCGTAGACACTCATTACTGTTTTCGGTCCTTAATTGCATGTTGTCGCCATCTACTGCCTGAAACCATCGTCCTTTGCGGGCGGGACGTCACGCGACGCCCAGCAGCGCGGCAAATTACGATCCTCTTGTCACATACCCAAGTGAAGACCCTCATCCCTGTTGCGGGAATACCAGTTTTGCACAAGGAGTTCTTCAACCCTACCCCTTCCTCATTATTATTGGTGTCCGAATCAATAATAGGAAATAAACACAACAAACAACAATATGAAATCAAGGCTAAACTCGCAATGCAGAAGATCCGAGATATGTCAATGAGAGACGGAGGAAATGATTCTTAAACTCCTTGGATGGTATTCCTAAATGCAACCCTCGGTGGCGATCAACAAAAATCGCGGAACGACAGTGAGCAAAACTTATTTCAGACAACTGGACTACGATCACTCGATAATCCTGCCACTGATCTGGAACTCTATCAAAATAATTTAAGGTACAGCTGTAAATGAAGTTCTTGCAAAAACAAGAACTTCTCGTTCTTATATACAAGACTAGGATCCATAAAACAGCAAAAACATAACTGAAATTCAGGAATTTAGGATATTCATTCGAAACCAGTGTTCACCAACCAGTGGGAACGACCGTCGTAGTAACGTAAGGGAGGGAGAACCTACAGGATTTTACAAATTCTTCTCGACCTTTAGAGTCTTTTGCAATGAAACTTCTTGGTACCTGTCAAGCTTTGACATTTAGAAAGTGACTATGTTCAACACAAAGTAACGAACAAATAGAAAACACTAACTACATCTAGTATAATTACAAAATCACGTTGTAGAACCAAGTGCGAAGCGTTAATATAGAGATGTGAGTGTTCTGAGAATTTCAATGTGCCGTGGAATCAACAAGTCGATCGCAGCCGTCATCGGCGCAGGCAGAATTACTGAGTGCATCACCAATCCCGCTCTACTGCGAACGATTCGCGCTACAATGCTAATCAGCGCGGCGCGGCAGCGGTGCGTCTTCTACGAGTGTGGCCGTGGGTCAGGGAGGTTTCAGGCTGTTGAGACGTGCAGTGCGTCACGTCGTCTTGGTCATCAACGTTGCCGAAATCTTAAGCCGATGATTATGCGGCCAGCAGTCATCTAATAAGGGGCAGCCTCCTGTTCCTACTTCTTTCACGCATTCTTGCTAATTCAAGACAAGTAATTCTCGTGAAGCAGCTAATTTCTGATCAAAGTTGCTTAATTCTAGCGATGGCGGCTGTCTTGTACGAGCCATAAAGCAGCTGTGCTTGAGTAAGATGAATTGCCATCTTTCTCTTCTCGTATTCTTGGCCTGATTCACTACGCAGAGTTGCGTGGGCGGATATCGTAACAGCTTCCCGCCAGGTCTTATCGTCCCGGCAAAATTGTGCTATTTCTGCTTCGAAAAATGGAAGCTTTGTGTAATTTTTTTCAGATTTATTCCTTTATCTACATATGTATAGTCCTCGTGAGACGTGGCGAAGGTGTCAAAAGGGAAATAATAGCCTCGATAAGGTGATTACATTATGAAGGCGTCATTTTAAAGAACAGTCAATTGAGAAGTCTGCATTGCAAATGATACATTTTATCTTACGACCATTGTAATCTT